CGATAATGTTTATTCGCCAGTGTCGTTTCATAGAATAAAAATAATACCAAATATTTTAAATTGTTACTGGCACAATTGGGCTATTTATGGACTAGAAATGATTATTTAAACAAGTTTTAATATCCCCAATCATAATTCTAAAAAATTTCAACAGCTATTCACAATGTATTAAACTATTTACGCGAAATTTTTATTAGCATCTATAAAATAATTTTCTACGCCTGTGTATCGCGTTCACTTCGGTTAGCTTCGCAAGAAAACTGTAAAATCCTGTGTATGAAGTGGGAGAACTCGAAAAAGCTTTTCCAACTTCTGTCTCTGGTCTATAGCGTTCACTGGTTTATTGGGGATAAAATGTGATATCCTGAACAACGTAAGGATGCGATTTGCGTGGAGTTGCCAAAGCTAATTAAACTAGTTAATGGTATTCCATTTTAGGAACATATTCCATATTTGGCTAATCTCATCCTCTAGTATTTTTCAATTTGTTGTTGTTTCAAATAGGTTAAATAAATTATCCATTTACCATGGATGGCTAAATTACATAACAAAATAGTGCCACTCTGTAGATGCGCGTATAACCGCATATTTAGTACTGTTTGCCAGTACATATTTTGGAGATTTTATAGAGAATGTTTGTCATAACAAAATTATTCTCCTACACATAAATATAAAATATTAGTGGTTTGATAGTGTTATTTTAAAAATTTATTTCTCTCTCACATTCTTAAACATAACATTTTTGCTTTTATCTTCGCATATAGTGAATCTTGATTCATAGCGAAATATCGAAAATGGCCTATAATATTTTTTAAAACTGTTCACCTGTTATTTAACATTTTATCACGATGACAAATAGAAATATTTATTTAACATTGTAATCGGGTCCTATCTGTCTAAAAAGAATAAACAAGCAAATCCCATTGATGATCTCTTATAGGGTTGCGCATGGCAATTGCCCAATTAAAATACAAGTTTAATAAAATGGAAAATTGAAAACCTAACCTACACTTAGAGAATGTTGAAACAAAGAAATACACACCATAAAATTAACATAAACAAGAAACAATTTAATATTAAAAAAAAAACAAACAAGATAACAATTGTAAATAAATTAAATTATCTAGACCTCAAACTATCGCATGCATGATTTAAGCTGGGATTTAAAGACTTTTATTATCAAAGCAGTCCAATCTATCAGAATATTGATTAGCAAATCTACCCGATCTTGATAGAAAAGAATTATGTCCATAGTTAGTCCGATGTTGTCTAATATTAAAGGGCTGAATAAGCCTTGTTTGTCTAGAAGGAACATGAATATTGATTTTTCCCAATAACTCTGGACTAAAGCATTGAGTAAAATATTCCTTTACTCAATAACTAAAGCTATACGAGTGTAGTATATTGTAGAATGTGGTAAGATCCTTGTGCATGCGTCTGATCTGAAGAGTGGTAATAATAAGGGAACTCTCAATATTTGAGTAATTAATATCCTCGACTCCACGGTGGACCTTAAATGAAATAAATCTTAAAAATGTATGCTGAACTCTTTCAATGACTCGAATATGAACATTGTAGTGGGGGGACCAGACACATGAACAGTAATTTAAATGGGGCCTCACAAGTGAACAAAACAATATTTTAATGGATGATACCTCTAAAAAATCCTTAGCGCAACGTTTAATAAAGCCTAGCATTTGAAGTGATTTTGACACTGCCATTGATATATGGGTACGTAAGATAAGTTGGAATCGAGGACTACACCCAAATCTTTAACTTGAGATACCGATTCCAAAAGGCAACCATTAATATTGTAGATTATTTGTTCTGTGGGACTTCTGTTACGACTGAAGACCATTTGATGGCACTTTTTAACATTAAGTTCCATTCCATTGATTTCACTCCAGTTGCTGAGACTATCTAAATCAGCTTGCAGTTTTATGTAATTAGATTCGTTCTTTATTCTCATATATAATTTTAAATCATCTGCAAACATTAGGAATAGGGCAAAGACAAAACAGGATGCAATATCTTTCACATAAATTAAATAGAAGAGGGCCCAAGTGTGAACCTTGAGGTACACCAAAATTATAGCAGACAATAGACAATAAAAGTGATTCTAAAACAGAATCCACAAACACTCACATTTTTTATTTCTATCAAGATTGTATCAGTACATAGTATACAGGGTGTCAATTTCAAAACTATGGAAAATACAAAAAACGTTTCGGCAGAATGGAAGGGGAAGCAGTTTAGTAGTAACAGCAGTTTTCTGATTGTCTCCAAATCCAAAATTTCAAATTGCAACCCCTATCATGTGATATACTGCGTACAAAAAAAAGTATTTGTGATGAATAGGGTTGCCAGATTTACAAAAGTGAAAAGCGTGACTACCGTGACAACCGTAACAACCGTGACGACAGAGCATCAGGTTCAAATATCAAGCATTTTTATATAATTAGGTCCATTAATTGTGAAATTTCTAAAAAAGAAAAAGGTCCTCGCCTTATTTTTCGAAAACAAGGGTCCTTTAGCCGATATTTATCTAAAAAAAAGATCTTCACCTTATATTTTTTAAAAAGCGTAGCATTTGCATAAAAAGGGTGGCATTTACATAAAAAGAGTGGCATTTGCATAAAAAGAGTGGAATTTTTATTAAAAACGGGAAATTTCCGTACTGTGGCGTTGAGCGTACAAGCAAGTCAAAAAGCGTGGAAAATACGCCAAAAGCGTGACGTCTGGCAACCCTAGTGATGAAACATTTTTATTTTTTGAAAAGTTATAGCATGTTTTATGTTGAATACCAGCCCAAACATTAATTTTTTGAGGATAATGAACGTTATCCTGTCGTACAATACGAGGAAGTTGAATTTTGACTATTTTTTACTTATAAAAAAATGGGGAACATTTTTCAAAATAATATTTAATTTTCAACATGTTATGACTTTAAAAAAAATGTTTCGTCAATAATATTTTTTTTTGCACGCCGTATACAAACAACTTTAAATTGAGGTATCACATGATAGTGGTTGCAATTTGAAATTTTGAAGTTGCAGTAGCTATCCCGCTTAGGAGATAATTCAGAAAACTACTACTACTACTACTACTACTAAACTGATTCCCTCTCCATTCTGCCAAAACGGTTTTTTTATTTTCTAAAACAAAATTCAATCTTTAGATCTATAGCTATTCTAAAGTTTGAAATTGACACACCGTATATTTTTTTTGTAGTAAATTTATTTTTCCCAATAAACATGAAGGTGTCATTGTTTCAAGTTGTTGGCCCTTCAACGAATGTGACAGCAAAGTAACTTGTATCGTTAAAATCGTTATGGCCCTTTTGAAATTTGTAATTAATCACCCTTTGACTTTAATATTTCGATGGGCCCTTGATATGGCTTTTTATGTGTTTCCCACATGCAAATGTAAAATTGTTATGGCTCGTTTGAAATTTGAATTAACTGCCCTTTAACTTTAATTATTCGACGGGCCGTTGATGACTTTTTAAATATTTCCCATAAATAAAAAGAAAAAGAAAAGAATAACATAACCTCTTGTAGTCTTTCTTGTATTGAATTTAGAGTGGAAATATTATCGTTCACAAATTCGGTATATTTTTGTTTTTCAGGCCACTCCATTATCTAAATTGTTTTTAATTGTATTGAGATAATTATTATACAGGGTGATAATTTAAAAACAATGGCTATATCTTATGAACTAAAGAATATAGGGAATATACTCTGTGTAACATCATTGAAAAGGCATTTTCTTGAGTATTGGAAAAACTGTTATGTAATACAAAGTATCTCATATGAGAGCTAATTTTATTAATATAATTCAAAACACCACATAAAATTAACCTAAATAAATAAAAAAATAATAAACTAGAATGTTTGCCATTCTATTTTATACTCATCACAGACCCCCTTAATCCCCATTTTCAATCAGATTTTTTTCAGAATCAATAGGCTCCATCCCCTTATAAAGCTTGAGTTTTCCTGAAGATTTCAATTTGATATCGTTTTTTGTTTCCGAGTTAGGATTTATTTCAATATTTCAACCCTCCTTATCTCCCCATTTTTATTTGTTTATTCATTTCCTTATAGAGCTTTTGGTTTTTGATTTCTATTTTTTTTTTTAATATTTCAACACCCCCTTAACCCCAAATTTTTCAAAAAATCATTATCATGTCACACTTTGATTACGTTTTTCCCTCAAGAGGGGGCTAAAATTGAGGATTGCGGTATTAATACTCATAATGTTGTATTCCCCAAAATTACCTTTTCTTTGATATGTTACCCGTGCTACATTTCTTTTAAAAGCCCAGCATAATTTTTGTAAGAGCCTTATTTGAGCCCTTTGAAGGGAAGTTGACTTTAATATTATGGAAATCTGCTGGAAAAGTGCTTATTGCTGGTAAAGTTACGAGCACATTAAAGGGAAGGTAATATTAATATTATGGGAAACTTCTGGTCATGTGCAGACCTTTCACTATGTGCCTGTTAAAGTTACAAGCCTTATGCAAGCCCATTGAAGGGAATTTAACATTATTTTGGGAAATTGTCATTGCCTTTCACTAACTTGAAGTGACGTACATGTGTTTAAGGGTCGAAAATTTGCCATAATAAAATGTTTGTTGGGTTGTTAAATATATTTTATTTCTGGAAGCAAATTAAATATCTTTGAGATTTTTTTTTGAGTTTTACTTCTAGTTGATATCTATGTTGTATATGAAATGTAATATTTAATAAATAGTATGTAGTATACGTAATAATACTCGTATGTTGTAATAATAAATGCATTATAATCGATTCGAGGTATTTTATTTTTCCTCCATGGTCTTTTGAAGCCCTAAAGAATTGTTTAAGACACTGAAGATGTTTCTATGCCTAATGACTTGATAGCAGTGTATTAGTAATACTATGTTAGTTCGATATCCAATATTTTTTCGCCCAGACTATCATTCGTATATTTTTTTATATTTGTCTTTTCTGTTTCAGGTTTCATCAATTTTAAGTTCGTACGGTTTTGTGGAAATACGAAAATTCCCATATCAGAGCAAAAGAGCTTTAATAGCCGTGGACAATTTCGGAAGGTAAGTTTTTTTTTGTCACATTCGCCTTGATAATTCCACATCGTGATATATGTGATGAAATTCCACAGCTGCTTGTTTTTATTTTTATTTCTGCGGATTCGTATTTTAGATGTGTAAAAAAAAACTTACAAAACACTTCTGTGTGTGTGAAAAATTATAGATATATTTATACAGGGTGATAATGCTTATTTATTTCCTAAAAAACATATATTTTGTAAATTTTTATAATGTATGAGTAACCAACCGGTAAACTTCATGATTGTTTAAAATACTTACATTTTCAAACACTTTATTATTTATTAAATAAGAATAATAAACATTCAAAATATGTACCACATAAAGCGACTAGTTTCGACCGTAATAGCCATTATCAGGTCTACAATACAAATAACGTGGTAGTAGAATATGTATTGAAGATTTACATAATATGTACATGAAATTGTTATATTACACTGTTGGTATATATAAAGATTAGCTACATGAGACACTATATTCATGTCGTAAAAACATAGCTATGACGGCGTCGTCCCGTTAAATTGGAGTGTTCACATTGTTGACAATGTGATCCGTATATAATTTTATTTCCTGATTTATACTGATCAAAATTATAAAAAAATTAAATTCTCTAATTGAACAGACATACAATCATAAAAATTCAATAAACTCTCTACAAAAAATTAAATTAAATAATTTTATTTTAAAATATTCTAGTCCGATATTTTTGTTGATTTTTTGTTCAATAAAGCACAACAGATCATTCGCGAAAAATTTGAACATTATCATACATCTATCAAGCTAGTGAAACAACACTACGAGTAGTGTACAAGAATGAAGGTTTATTATAAATCTGTCGCTTTTAGGAGACATAACTCCAAACACATAATATTCACATTATATAATATTTTAAGAAGATTTTGCCAGACAAAAATTTAATAAAGTGGACTTATATGTTATCAAACTATAACATTTACTAGCAGTGCTTGACTTAACATAGTTAGATCAAATGAAAATTCATGAGAAAATATATTAGTGGAATTAATAAAAATCCGTTTTTTGAAGTTAACATATATGTCTCCAAAATGCCATCGAAATGTTTACCCTTCTCTACCTACCTGGGTAGCTATTCTTGAATTTGAGGGAATAGAAAACCGGTTTTGCCTCTTTATCTGCAACGCGCAAAATTTATATTTTTGTCTCATTCTTCCCTCAAAATTTCTACTCCCTGAAATTCAAGAATAGATACCTGCTCTTTGTCTGCATCGATCCAGTACACCGGACCGATACAAAAATTGAAAGTACGAACCTGTAAAGACATTGTAGAGTGGTCTACTGTGTAGAACGAGTTTCAATTAAATAATTTTCATTATTTAGCAATGTAAATTTATAATATACCATTTTTAACCCACCAAATACGTAAAAAGTTTCGAGAAAGCTACAATTTATTGATTTTTTTGTTAATTCAGACCTGGATATTTTTTATATAGTATATTTAGAACTACTTTGATGACACTATCTACCAATACATTATTTCCTTTTAACTATGAAACAAACGAAATACATATTTTCAAAATTGTAACATTTTTTAGTATATGAACATTGAACCAAAAGTTATGGTGCACTGCCAGGGCCCAATTTTCACTTATAATCTCCCTATTAGTCCAGGACCCGTAAGTAAGGTCGACCTTCACCCATCTGTTTAATGGATAAAAGTTTTTTTTTTATTAAATAAAATGTTTTTAAATATACCGCAAATGGGTTGCTTAAAAAAATACGGTCACGGACATTTTTTACTTTCCTTTCTGTCTACAGATAGGGAAAGGATAGGAAAGTTGCTTATGATGTCATTCTCTATTATATTATCCCTATACATGATTTCCCTAAAATGGACTTAATTCGAGATATTTGAGGAAGAGTGCAAATTTCGAATTTTGAAGATAGGTAATTCAAAAACGTATGAAGAGAAAAACACCAAATTTTAAACTTAAGCTTTAATCCATTCTGCGGTGAGTTGATTAAAGTTTGGGCATAGTCAAAGCTACTTTACAGGGTATCTTTTTTTACTTTAAGAAAATAAATAGTCTTGGCCATATTTTCTTAGGCAACCCATTTGCAGTATATTTATAAACATATTTTATTTAATAAAAAGAAACTTTTATCCATTAAACAGATGAGTGAAGGTCGACCTTACTTCGGATCTTAGACCATATAGTCTGAATAAAAGAGGAGTGCAGTAAAAGTGGGAATATAACGTCTTGCCAAATTTTTGTTACTTTATGTCCAGCATTCATCTAAAAAATATTCTTTGTTGACATTGAGAGTTTGGGCTTTTGAGGGAGCTGAATTCAATTCCAATCTCAGATTGGAAAAATTGACAGTTGACAGCTGTCAATTGACTGTCAACGAGGAATATAAAAGTTTGGGTTTTGGAGGTCGCTGAATTCAATTCTTATGTCAGATTGGACAAATTGACCGTTGACAGCTGTCAATTCACGGTTAACGAGTAAAGAAAATATTTACTTCTCTTTTCTTCGTTGACAGTGAATTGACATCTGTCAACGGTCAATTTGTCCAATCTGACATGAGGGTTGAATCCAGTGACCTCAAAAACATTACCCTATATATTAGAATAATTAAAATATGCCTTTGACATCTGTAAATAGTATTGAAAATGAATAGTTTTGCAACGGGTCAGGGGAGCTTTGGCAGCTTCGTAGCTGCCAAAATATTCATTTTGGCACTTTGTGCCCATGGAGACTTTTGTTCAGGATGACAAAATCTACAACATATCAAAAATTCAGACAATTTAACAGAAACCCAATTTCCATAAGATTATTGCGGGGTCCTTTATCAAGAAAATCTTGAGAGAATTCATTTCTCTGGAGTTTGAAAATAGGTCACCTGGTCTAATCCACAGAATTGAAATTAGGAGAATGGATTTGATTATGGATTACTTAAAATTTACGTTCCGTTAAGGAGATTCAAAATTGAGATTTGAGTTTGCGCAGTGGGTATCAGTCAGACATGTCAATTTTCATTTGTGAAAGTGATTTGAAAATAAATGTTAATTTTATTCATTTGAAAACAATTTTTGGAACGATTGACCGCGTATTGGACAAACCGCCTTTAATTTTTTTCTGAAAACATTGTTATATATATATATTTTTTTTTTTTTCAAATTATGACCTTCTTTGGCACCTACTGCGCAAACTCAAAAAACCCCTTGTAGAAACGTTTTTGTAAACTGTCAAATCCATTCTCCTAATTTCAGTTCTGTTGTCTAATCAGGAGTTCTTTGGGTTTATTTGACAGACCTGTCACTATCTAAAGTTTGGCAATTAAAAAAAGGGCAATTTAAATAAAAAATTTGGCATAATTATTATTATTTAGCTGAATGGCATCTTAGATAACATTATAATAGGTTAGACTATTTTCATCTATGAAAATATATTAATTTTTTTTTGTATGATTTTTCCAATTAATAAAGCAACTCTTTATAATGCGGGATCCAAGGGCGGCTCCAGAGGGGAGGCCCAGGTGGTCATGTTTTTTTCCTTTCTTCATTTTTTCTTTAAACCCATTTTGTGGACTCCTATATAATATCATGAAGGTATGATATCGCGCAGATTGATACTACATCATGCCGGGTGACGTATTGTGGTGTGGAGGCTGATCGAAAACAGTGCGCGAAAATAAATTACAATCTGGTCATGGCGAATCAGATATTCCACACCACAATACTTTATGCGCGAACTAGATGAGATTTTGTCGGCTAAGTATCATATTTCTGTAATTTTTTGTATCATGATTTAATATGATTTTTTACTTTTTCAGTTTATTGCCAACATATTGTAATTGAAAATTACGTAGGTCTAACGTTCAAAAATAATCGTCTTCGTTGACGAACTAGTGAATTCAGTAATTGACCCTCGGATCGGTCGGGCAGTCTGATTTCGCTAATGGTCTTTAATAAATTTAAATTTTTGAGGTCGATTCTATTTATCACCCTGTATTGGCGAATGTTATTTTATACAAAATCTCCGTCAAAAAATACGCATACGCACCAGACCTTACGTTGGCCGTGATAGTATAAACTATAAACTGTAAATTATAAATCGTACAATAAATTCTGAAATGTTAAAATTAGACAACGAAACCAGTTTTGTATCTGGTGAAGTTTGTATGAAATTTGTTGTCAAACAGTTACGATAAAACAGGTGAATTATGAACTAATAAATAATGTAATTCCAAATTTAAAGGATTCTAGGATGGATCTTCGTTCTGGTTTTTAAATAAAGTAAGTTTTTTGTTCATTTAGCCTGGGAAAGTTCTAGTGAACAAAGTTAAATATAAAGGAAAACCACAATGGGCCCGTTCACTTTCATTTTTGAATGTGAATTATTTATATATTTATAAAGATATTAAACTCTTTTGTCTGGTGGTACTTTTCCCGTTAAAATATTTTTGCTAGAAGTAAGGGAATTCCCATAAAATTCTTTCAGTGACTCATTGCGTCAGAAAACCCCTAATTCCCTTCAGGTGTTGTATCGGTTAATAGTTAAAAGGGCGCGGTTGTCGGATGTATCATTGCACCACCATTCCTCTTCTGCATTTATTAAAGAAATTTAAATGATAAAAAAATATTATTTTTTAAAAATAATGTGTTTATATTTTCAGATAAAGCTGGAAGGCTTACCTTTTTTAAATTTTAATAAAAACAATTAGTATTACTCAAGCTGAATATTACCAGATCCAAATTTTATTTGAGAAAATGTATCTGGTAAACGTGACAACGTTGTAAGTACTTCTAAATAGTGTTGTCTACACACACTTCTAGAAATAAATGCAACGTTGCCACGTTTACCAGATAAATATTGCAAATCAAATTTCTACTTTTTGATTATGGTCTGGTTAATTTTCAGCCTGAGTAATAATAATTGTTTTAATTAAAAAGTAAAAAATAAGCTCCCAGCTTTAAATCTGAAAATATAAGTTCATGATTT